TGCTGATTTCGGATGAAACAAAGTGTTGGCACCTCGGAGCCTCCCAGGGAGTGACAGTTCCAAGCTGCACATTGGTGGCCCACTTTCTTCAGTCCCCTGCACAGCTCATCACAGCCAGCTGTCTTGCTGAAGTCGGTGGAAATTTTGCCATTGAGTGAAACAGAAAGATAGATAAGAACTTTATTTTCTTCTAAATAAATGCACATCTTTCTTAGCTTGTCATTTTACCTCACCACCCTCTCTGCCCTTGCATCTCCTCAGTCATACCGCTGTGACCACACCTGACAGACCACCGTGGGCTCTGTGAAGCTTGCTGGGTGCTATGGGCGTTTTTCTCTTGGGCTCAGTGTGTCTCTCTGTTAGTAAGAAATGTCTTATGGCTATGCCCCTCAAGGGCCTATCTCTCTGTGATCAAAGCATGTTCCTGTTATGTGAATTTAAGCTGATTCTGAGCAGCCAGCAGGAAGGAGAAAAGAGGAAGGACGCTGGTGCGGTTATGGTGTTAGCCAGAGCCTCTGGGGATGAAGGTGCGTTTCCCTGTTCCGCCACAAATGGCTGTGGTGGCCTCAGGCAAATTACCTCCAGCACTATACAGGTCCCTAAAATGTTACTTGGGCAGCAAAATAATATGTTGAAAAACATGGACCTAAAACTGTGGCCTGAAATTCATCAGACTCCTAAGGTTTTTATTCTCTCTGCACATATCGGAAATGCTTCAGTGTGGACATGACGGAACAGCTCAGTGCCTCGCTCCTGCCTGAGCTTGCCTGGCCAAAACTCCTTGGCACTTCTCCACCTACCTCCTGCTGGGGACAGGATCTGGCCAGCAGGCTCACCTGCTGCTTTCCACCCAGCCGGGTCCCAGGCGAGAGGACAACAAATGTCCTCAGTGCAGGTTATAGTGGCTCTGTTGAAGCGAATCCCCCGATCACCCTGCCCCACGAGGAGCACACCCAGTGCTCATCAGCCCTCAGTACTTGGTGCCAGGCTACGGCTCCTCTCAATTAAAATCTCCTGATATGGGGTTGGATATGGGATCCTCAACGTCAGCCATGTAATGCAGTGAATCTATGCCTGTTGGGCTGCTCTGCTTGCTAATGTAGGCACCAAGTGGGAATTAAGCATGGAGATGCTCAGCTGGATCCCTTTTGTACCCAACCGTCTGCTGCTCTGCAGCTCAGGTCCCCACCCAGGATTGAGGAGATCAGGGCTCTTCTACCTGTCCTATGCGTACACACCCTGTGGTTGTGGGTCAGTGTTAATCTTGCTTGACTCAAGATTACATGAAAAGATAAATTCTCTCTTACAAAGATAAATATTAGGCCAAATTCTGTGCTTAGTTAGGTACATGTAATAATAAAGATCTGGAAATCTTCTTCCTCTACTGAAACACTTGTAAAGAGTCAGAAAACCTATTAATCTGCCCCAATTCTATTTTCTTTCTAAAAGGCAGGCAAATACTGTTCTGTTTCTTCCAGCAAGTAGGCTGGGAAAGGATATGAGCTCCACAATCTGTTTTCAATGTCTTAAGGACTTTTACATTTTCCTGTTTTTTCTTAAATGAACTCTTCTCCACACGTACTTTCTCACAGGTGTATTTAACTGATGTACATTTGACCTCCCTTCTCACCCCTGTGTGCACCCTGCCACTGTCAGGTGGTTAGTCTAACTTCTCCAAAACTGTCTTTCTGTCTATATTGTTAAACTATTTTATTTTCATATCCTGACTCTCCTGATGGTAACTTTGAAAAAATAAGAAATACAGCCTTTCTTTTATTAAGAAAAGGTATGCCTTTTGAGCCATGCTAATTAATCTTTGATAAAATCTTGAGGAAGACAAGACAACTGGAGATTTTAAGTCTTGTTGGCCAGAGAGGAAGAGCTAAAGAATGGAGCAGAGCTGTAAATAAAGAAAAAAACTTAAGATGTTATGAATTTTTAAATCTTATGCGATAAGTCTTTGAGGGAAATGAAAACTGAGGTAGAAATCTGGCACCATAATAGTTGAATGGCTGATATCCAAGTGACACTGATTTTCCAGATTTGTTTTTAGCTCTACAAAGTCCAAGAAAACTTCAAAAAGGTAGGTAACAGTCAAAATGACTATAGTATATTCCCTGGGCATTCCTTGACTAACTGTGTAAGAGTAAAGACTTTTTTTTCCTTAGTTCCAGGATAGTAGCAGAGATCATGAATGACCTGGATTAAAACCAGCCTTCACTTTTTTTTTTTACCTTCTCCCTTTTAGAGAAGACGAGATCTGTATACCAAGTATCTAACCAGGTGCATAGAAAAGCAATATATAGTTTCAATATGAAAATTACCACATCTCTGCCTCAGAGTCCTGTAACATATACACACTGTACTACAGAATCTGTCATATATTGTGATTGCCACTTCCAGAAATGTGAGAGTCATACAAGGAGCCCATGACCTTCAGGCAATTTTGGATCAGGCCCTTGGTTGCCTTTTCTGAATTGAGCATTGGCTCACTCTAAATCCTGGAATAAGTCACTTGGGGAAATCTTTTCTAAAAGTCCCCCACATTTTGGGTTCTTCTTTTTTTAGATAACCTAATTTAGACACCTGCTGGTAAGTGTTTGAAGCCAGACAACCGTAAACAGAGGCATGCAAAGTCAGTGAATAGTTTTTGAGTCCTTTCAGCCTTTACCTCTGTATGGCTGATTAGTTTCTGGTGTGATTTGGGAGGCCCAGATGAGTTACATCAGGGCCAAATTGTGAAATGTAAGTTTTATGTGTAGTTTGTTGAGATTTGTTTTATTTTGTGTTTGTTTTTTTTTGTTGTTTTTTTTAGTTTGTTTGCATTTGTTTTTTTCAGAAAAGCTGATCAAGATCTTCAAACTGTAAGGAATAAAGGTAAATCCTCAATCTGCTTGTCTGTCTATTAAATATGGCCTGCTTTGATGAGGTTTTGTGTCTCTTGACAACAGATGAAAAACGTGTATTTTTTACCTTCCATACCTTTCAAGCACTGAAGATTGATGTCAACCACTCACTTCAGAATGTTAGAAGCAACAAGAACTCCTGAATTACAATTTAGTTCAAAAATCACAAAATCCTAGGATTGTTAAGGTTGGAAGGGACCTTAAAGATCATCAGGTTCCAACCTCCCTGCTATGAGCAGGGACACCTCACACTAGACCAGGCTGCACAAGCCTCATCCAGCCCGGCCTTAAACACCTCCAGGGAGAGGGCTTCCACAACCTCCCTGGGCAACCTATTCCAGCACCTT